ATAACTGTTTGTGAGGAGTTCATTTGCAAAAACAGATAATTCCATTTCTCTTTTTTTTATTTTTATTTTTTTATTGCGCATTCCAAGTAATATCAATCAAACTGCAGTTGGGTTGTTTTGATCAAGTAGTAATAATTTAAACAAATACAGGTAATTTACTAAATTAAAGTTCATTGAAAATATGTATAGCGAGCTGATTCGCTAAAATGGATTTATCGGCTTCTGTTCCAAAACAACAAGGGCGCTTGTCGCTTCTGCAGCAAAACGTGAACTCGCCATGCCTTGAAAGTGGACAAAACCGGCTTTTTTGATAAAACGTGTTTAGGGTTCAGAGCGCGCTATATGTGAAGAATAGCCTAATGCACTGCAATCAGCTTATTATAATGTTGTTGTTGTTTTTTTTTTAAAGTGGCATTTATCGGTTTTTGCAAATGAACTCTTCTCTCTCTCTCTCTCTCTCTCTCTCTCTCTCTCTCACTCACTCACACACATACATCTCAGTAGAAGTGTGTAATGTCCCCATTTAGCTTAGTAAGTGTGTGTAGACATGGAAAGGTAGGATTTTTATTTTTTATTTTTTACCAAAAAAAAAATCGGTTTCTACTTAATCGTGAAATGTGGAACTGATCAGCAGGACTCTGCACACTCACCACAGCCGTAAAGCCTGCCTTCCCTTTTTACACGAAAATATTTTGACCTGCTCTTTAACAGCCTTTCATTTTTACGTTTTGTTCAATCTTTGGTCAAATAGTTTTGTTAGGAATAACATACTGTTTTCTCAATTTATCCACCTTGTTTATAGCATTTGTAACATGAATTTTCCAGTTATTTGGCCTGCTTTTTGGCTTGATATTGCAGACTGGCGTTTCTTATCGTATTATTTTAAGGTATTATCGTCATTATATGCACTTTGTTATAGCTCTAGTTATTTGCCTGTAGTGGCTAATGAAGTGAAAGTCTCGCACATTCACTGTAAATGTCTTCCTTCCTCGTTGCAAAATAAGGCTGATAGAAGATCTGTATTTGTCCTTCCTGATGTGGTATCAAAATAGTGTGTAGATAACAGGCCTTCGGTTTCACCCGTCTCCCTCTGCTGGTATGGTAGTTGTTTTTAGGAGCCAAGTCTGTTTTGTTCCCCTATATTGGCATACTGATAAATACACATACTGAGGCTATATTTGGAACTGCATACTATCATGCATACCTTTCTTAATATTTATACTGTATGCAGTACATGCACATTAGGTAAATTTTCAGTATGAATGTGACTAGAATATTTTCCAGTATATGCACAATGCACAGAATACTGTATCCCCCAATGCAAAGTGCTCGTCTTCACCCTTACTTTCCAAAGTGATGAATAAACTAGAAGTGCACATCCATTTGCACCAAAGCAAGTGAAACTGATTGACAATCACTTTCCTAACCGGACAGATTGATATCCCTGAAGTTTAATTGACTTGGTGCTTTACTGATTAAGTGTTCCCTTCATTTATTTTTTTTTGAGCAGTGTATATAAACCAATATATAGGCTACACACAAGAACTCATACAGACGGATGTCATGTCAGTGGCACAGCGTGAGAAACGTGAGATGTGTGGCGTGAGAGCATGAGAACAGTATCAGTTGCATGATTCTCATGCTGAATATGTGAGATTTGGCAAAGTGTGATATAACATGCGACTATTTAGTCGGACTGTCAAGAGTTATGACTTTGTTGCACCTAATAAGATTAAAAATGAAAACGGTAAGCGATGTTTTTGAGCTGATTAGTGCATGCCGACTTCATGTGACAACAGTGTAGCTTACTGTTTGAAATGTCACATTTAATTGTATTTTTAGTATGGAGCGTTGGACAATGTTGTTCTAAAATAAAGATGACCTGTGCTGTTATGCAGAGCTGTATTTTCTATTTGAACCTTTATAAAACCTGATAACCATGCTATATATTTATAATTATAGGAATAGTTCACCCCAAAAACAATTTTATGAAAATGTACTGTCCTTGAGGCCACCCAAGATGTAGACGAGTTTGTTTCTTCATCAGAAGAGATTGAGAAATGTAGCAATACATTAGGATAATTTTTTTTTTTTTAATCTTATCTATTAGCTGTTTGGACTCTCATTCTGACGGCACCCATTCACTGCAGAGGATCCATTGCTGAGCGAGTGATGTAATGCAATTTTTCTTTTTGGTGAACTATTCCTTTAAAACATGCTAAACAAAAACATGATAATTGCATTCCCACTTGGCCTTGTCCACAGTTGTTTCTTCTGACATGGCTATTGGATTGCTTAACCAGCATGCATTGCTTGGTGGTTTTATGCAAGTAAAAATCAACTCTGTTTGTGACTCACAAACTTTAAATGGCCTATTAGCCCCAACAGCTGTGCATGGAAAGTGAAATTGGCCAAAAATGAGTCTTAGAAGTGAAGATGGCGAGAAACCTGTCACCAGACCCACAGAACAGTATGAGTCTGCAGCTCTCTCTAGTGGATGCTTCTTATAATAATGGCTCACAGCTTTCTTTGTTCAAACAGATCAACACTTATCCAGCATTCATGTTAGTTTACCTAAAGCCAACAGGCAGACAAACCAGCTCAATTACCTATTGTTACACAACAAAGATTAAATCCGATAAGAAAATGAATCCATGAAGAACCAGGGCTCAATGAAAAGAGTCTGATAATGAGTAACGAATTAAATTATTTGATGACGAACACAAAATAAAGATGAGACCTCATAAATGAAATAAAAATACTCGGATCAAATAAGGAGTAGCCTATTTAAAAAAATTATAAAAATTATCCCAAAATTATGGATATCATCCAATAAAAACAAATTTCTACATTGTTTAAATAAATGTATTCTTAAAATCAATATCAGACTTTTTTTCAACTTTTTATATTTATTATTATTATTATTATTATTATTATTTTTTTTTTTTTTTAAGTGTTTCTTGAATGGATATCATCTAATAAAAAAAACTAATAATTTCTACATTGGTTATTTTAAGAATAAATGTATTTAAACAATATCAGACTTTTTTCCCCAACTTTTTATATTATTATTATTATTATTTATTTATTTATTTATTATTTTTAATTAAGTGTTTCTTGTATGGATCTCATCCAATAAAAAATAATAATTTCTACATAGTTTAAATAAATTTATTCTTAAAATAAATCAATATCAGACATTTTCCCCCAACTTTTTATAATAATTTTTTTCTTTTTCTTTTTTTTCTTTAAGTTGTTCTTGTATGTTTACCTGAGGAGGAAGATGCTTAACTTTCACTGTATATGATGCCATAAAAATGACATCTGCTGTCTGTCACATTAATTACCCGGATGGCGATAATATTAAACCATAAACATTCATAACTAGCCTTTCGTCACAAAGCGACGTCGACATAACCTATTTAATATTCATTAACTGCCAAGTCGCCATTGGAAGTGACTTCAGCACAATCTAATTAATATTTATGATTTCCAGCCTATTAATATTCATGAGCCAAACCTCACAGCAAAAGATGAAAATGTAGACCTATATCAGAAGAGGCGCACATTATGATGATGGAAGACGGACTGGTGTCTGAAGACGATATATGTGAGTGTTAAAAGGCTAAAAAAAAAAATAAAAAAAACTGACAGTGTTGTTGTGCGGCACTAACTAGGGCACGTGAGAGAAATATATTCTCGTATATGCATCTCGTTGTATTGTATTGCTTCTAAAACTAGCTGTTGTTACTAAATAGTTAGCAATAAAAATGTTATATAGTAGACTAAAGAGACTCGTTTAATAGGACTTTGTTGGATTCTTCAACACATTTACAGCCGAAAATCTATTATACCATTTATTATTCATATCTAATTGTTATATATTATACATTTCTTTGTTTTTCCCAAATCAGTAATCGATCCTTAATCTTGATTATGTATCAAATTCGAATAGAATGGAATCTAAAACCTAGATTGAAGTCATCTATAAAAATGGTAAGAAACATTAGATATGAATATTGTTGATGCATGTGGCTAATCATGGATCCTGCTGATGTTTGTACCTGTGCACACCACACATAACTCCTGTCACCTTCCACTCCAGTGCTTCCTCAGAGAAGGAGATCCATGATGCTGCGAAGAGGAACGACACTGAGAGAGTGCAGGAGATCATCAGAAGAGGGGTGGACATCAAAGTCAAAAATAAGCTGAGATATAGCCAATGCAGATCTACATGCACTGTACTATGATTATGTGCATTATACTAGACAGCCTAAAGCAGTCTTTCTAGTAAAAGAACAGTCTTTAAAAATGCCCTTGGAAAGGTTTAAAATTGGCAACTTGATTTAATAAGAAATATATATTCATAACCAAATAAACCATGGTGGCACGGTGAAGAAAGCCGAGCAAAGCATGCCGCAGGAAGCTGTGTCAGAGGAAGTTATGTTGCTAGTATTCATATCTAATTGTTATATATTATACATTTCTTTGTTTTTCCCAAATCAGTAATCGATCCTTAATCTTGATTATGTATCAAATTCGAATAGAATGGAATCTAAAACCTAGATTGAAGTCATCTATAAAAATGGTAAGAAACATTAGATATGAATATTGTTGATGCATGTGGCTAATCATGGATCCTGCTGATGTTTGTACCTGTGCACACCACACATAACTCCTGTCACCTTCCACTCCAGTGCTTCCTCAGAGAAGGAGATCCATGATGCTGCGAAGAGGAACGACACTGAGAGAGTGCAGGAGATCATCAGAAGAGGGGTGGACATCAAAGTCAAAAATAAGCTGAGATATAGCCAATGCAGATCTACATGCACTGTACTATGATTATGTGCATTATACTAGACAGCCTAAAGCAGTCTTTCTAGTAAAAGAACAGTCTTTAAAAATGCCCTTGGAAAGGTTTAAAATTGGCAACTTAATTTAATAAGAAATATATATTCATAACCAAATAAACCATGGTGGCACGGTGAAGAAAGCCAAGCAAAGCATGCCGCAGGAAGCTGTGTCAGAGGAAGTTATGTTGCTATTCACCATGCCAATTTCTCCGGCTTGGATGTTTTTCCCAGTTATGCACCAGAGAGTCTGAAACGCACATGTTGTGGTCCTCGGCACAGGATATGACCCTTATTTTACCCTAGACAACAGTATTCATCACCTAAAAACATGACCGATAACGCCTAATGAGTCAATGGCTGTTTCATTTTTCCATGTGGTTTTGGTTTTACAGATGGACCGCAAGGCCCTTCAGTGGGCAGCAGGAGCCGGCAGTGAGCAGGCAGTGCGTCTACTGCTGGACCACGACATGGAGGTGGATGATCTGGACGGCGTACGTGTCAAATGCATTTTGTTGAACAGGTTCAAATGTAGTTACATTTCAGGCTGAATGTTTTATGTTCCGTGTTTATTTACTGTATGAGCACAAATGAGTGAAATACTGCTCCACTGGATAAATCTTTAATGGACTGCTGTTCATTCACCATGTGGCCTGTAAATTACTGGAGGCTATGAGCTTGTTACACCAACGACGATTGAAGAGACAATGCATGGCCCTGAAATACAAGGCAAAACTTTTTTAGATAATTGAGCAGTTGACTAATATGTGCCTGGGGATTTTTTTTTATAAGAACACATCATGATTAAAATTTATACAGACGTTTAAGTAAAAGTGTATGATTTTAATTTTTTTTTTTTTTGTAAGTTTATATAAATACTCCTCCTGGGTGTCAGTTTTTTTTTTTTATAGTTTTTTTTCGTATACTAAGAGCTGAATGCATAATTTTTTTAAAATTATACAGAAATTTAGTGTCACTGCATATGCATTTGGTGAAAATTAAAAATACAATTTGTGCACAAACTTATCACACCAACAACCAAGGGTGGCCATGAAATGCAAGAGATAATTAAAACGTCACAATGAAATTTAAGATTAAAATTAATGTTAAATTATTAGTGGAAGAGTGTGTATATATATATATTTTTTTTTTATTTTTTTTTAGCTGGTCAACATATTTGAATCAGGTTTTTGTTGTTTACATAAGTGGTCCTGTGGAGTGACTTTCATTTTTAAAATACAAATTTTCCATGTAGTCCCTCAAATAGTATTGTGAGTATAACTAATTTAATTATAACGCATGCAGTTTTATTTTAGAAAATTTAACAGAAAATTAAAAGGGTATTAAAAACATGCTACTTATAAAAGAATTTGATGAAGTATACAGCATGTCTCAATATGTCATTCCATATGCTTTTGCTGAAAAAAAAAGTCAGTCCATTATTAAAATTAAGTATGTATTTGGTGGATACTTTTAAGTGACTCAAAGCAATACATTCAAGCAAGCCGTTTTACCGGAATGTTTATTCCCTGGGAATTAAACTAATGCTAGCAGAAGGATCTACACATGTATTCATCACTGGAATGTGATTAAATAATTAAGAGAGTCACTGTAGGCTAATACTGTTTTTGACTAGATTCTTGATTGTTTTCCAGTTCGGTATGAACCCTCTGCTCTTAGCGGCATGGTTTGGTCACCTCTCGATCCTAAAGATCCTTGTCTCAACTGGGGCGAAGCTCTCCTGTGAAAACAAAGTAAGGCTCTATTGGAAAAATCCTTTCAGATATCTTATAAGAAGACAGTGGTACCATCTCACTCAATGTGCTCTGTTCTCTCACGGTTGACTGTGCTCTAAGCTTTTAAAGACCACTAACCAATACAAATGAGATCGACGTGTGTACTGGCCTACATTAAGACTTCAACATTCATTTCAATGCATCTCACTGACTGAACTCTCTGGTTTTCTTTCAGGATGACTTGAATCTCTTGCACTGTGTTGCCCAGAGGGGTCACATCAGTATTTTGGAGTATGTCATGGAAGATCTGGAAAACGTGCAGCTTAATAAAGTCGACAAGGTGAGAATCACATGTTTTGTCACAATGCCCGTGATCTTGAAGTGTAGTGTATTTTATTTCACAGAATTGTACTTTCAGTTCCCTGCTAAAAACTAGAGCCCAGACAAAATTAAGGGACGGAATGGGTTTTGCTTTCCAATGTATTGTAACTAGAAGAACATCTTAAGTGTGGTTTTACACTAGAGCAAATTCTGAAAGAGTGTTTGACTGTAGGGCGGTCAAACAAAAATGTGAATTTTGAATATTCGTCGAATTAAAAAAAAAAAAAAAAAAAAAATCGAATGGAAAAAAAAAGTTTCATTAGAATTTTAGGCCTGTGTCAGCCGTCAGGCAGCCTTATCAGTTGCGCACAAAATATGACGACGATGTAAGTGTCATTGCATTTTAATGCTTTTGTTAGCCTATCCAGTTGAACCCACTAGATGAGGCGCTGCTACGTTGTTCATTCACTATATTGCAGAAAACGAGAGCATCAGTGTGGAGATGATGTTGTTTACGTCAAAACTGAAACCAAGCCGTTCACACAGAACGCATATTTATCACATTTTCTAGAGGGACATCTATCAGCATTGCACTTGCGTCTCGCACAAGAGAGTGGCATGTTTAGAAAGCCATGTAAAATTAATGTAAGTGCAACTTGGAAAAAAAAACATGTCTCAAGACTTTATGGCACTTTTTCCCCATCCCACTGTATCTCATGTTTTTAAATGAAGAAAGTAGCCTTCTCTTTGTGATTTGGTTTTCAGTCCTTTGTATTAAACTATACATACATGCATGGTGCTGTTTTTTTTTTCTTTCTAATTGTTTAAGCAACTTTATTAATTATATATGGTTTATAAACCTTATCTTTGGGAAAAAAAGTGCATAATGTTTAAAATAGTGTTATTTTATTACACTTTGAAGAAACGTGCATAATATTTTGTTCGATGCGCCCTCTTGTGGCCTCAGGAGGGAAGTCAAAAGCTTTTTTTCCCCACTAACTGAAATTACGCCTTTTAAATTCGAATATAAATCGAATTTTGATAATATTTAAGTGGAAAATTTGAATTTAGTTTCAGTCATTTTGACAGCCCTATTTGAATTATACAAATTTGTAAGATCAGTTCTGTGGGTGGGAAGGAGGTGGTCAGTTTGACCGAATTACTCAAAATAGTTACTATTTGTTCACGTTTTGATCATGATGTTTGGATCACATCACTTCATACTGTATTTGCAGACACTTTAAGCTGTTTTTCATCTAAGAGACTGATAACAACTGTGATGATTGCACAGTGTTCATGCAAATACCAGTTAAACATTTTCAAGGAATGACTTTGAGGAAGGAATTGTCTTCAGGAAGAGGTTTGTTGACGTAAAAAGCAGACCGTGAACAGGAGCTGTCAAGCTTCAAAAAAGACAAATAGCTCCATAAAATTCCAGTGTAATTTGTAAACTGTTGGATAGGTCAAAGTTTTATCCATGAGGAATTTATTGGATAATTTCATTGATTCGCTAATGTTTTTTTTCTCTGCCTCCACAGCCTTGGTTATAGAAATTCAATTCAGAGGTGGAGAAAATAGATGAATCATGCTCAGTCAATATGATTGTGGGACATGTATTATGAATGTCTACATTTTGATGTCATGTTGTAAAACACAGATTTGGCTGTTTCCAGCTGTTGTGAATTGAGCTACTCATTACACACAAGTTTAAATGTATTCCCCATTAGATGTTTTGCAAAGTTGATCAATAATACAACCATCACACAATCAATATTCTGGAGTAGTTTCATTGTGCTTTGTCAAAACATGTTTTATTCCACATTGGAATATTAACAGATGAAGTAAAGCTGTAAAATGTTAATGGAAACTACTCTTACAAATAAAGGTTCATGGTTTCATGGAGAACCTTTCCATTGCACAAAAGGCTCTTTATAATGTAAAAAGGTTCTTCAGATTAATAAAATATAAGATTATTAAATTAAGAACCATCCACAGAAAGGCTCTTTTAGGAACCAAAAATGGTGGTTCTATTGCATTACTATGAAACCCCCTGTTGGAACCTTTATATTTAAGAGTCTATTACATTATGTCCTTTCTAACATGTCTCCATCTGGTGTGTCAGTCAGGTAAGACAGCGTTTCATTTGGCCGCAGAGCATGGACACCTGGAGGTGGAGGAGTTTCTCATTGGTATGGGCTGTGCTCATGACCTCAAAGACAAGGTGAGGGACCGACAGACGCCCCTCAGTGTGTGCTAATTCGATTTTCTCTACTGCTAAATGCAAAATGCCAAAGTAGAGTGCAAAGAGAGCCAAGGTTTCAGAATAATGTTCTTCGAAGAACTTACAAATATGATCCAAATAAAATATGTAGACTTGAGCGGTGTGGCGCTGTATTATTTTAATCGGTGTGTTTAGACATCAGAAAGGTCTTATGCGCCATGTGAGATAAAAAGTAATTATATAAGAAAAGAGAAAATCAATGCAGAATGGTGCCAAATTCAGAGGTCAAAATAGAAAACAAATCAACTCCAAATGTATTAATCTGACCTAACTACAAAAGAAAAAAAGAGAAACTAAACACATTTCAGCATGCTACAGTAGATGCCTTTCCTGCCCTACTTTGGTTAGTTAAACTAACAAAACAAAAACATACCAAAAATGGAAAAATAGTGGCAATAACAAAGGAAAAATAAGTAATTGATGGAGCACTAATATGGTGTTCATGAACTGCAGGAAGAAAACACTGCACTGCATTTGGCAGCTAAGCAAGGCCACAGTGACGTCCTACAGAAGATCATGGAGACCGGGGAGAGCATTGATGAAAAAAACATTGTAATTAGATCCCAGTTTTGTGTGCAAGAGTTTTTTTTTTTGTTTGGTTTTGGTGGCGTTTATTTGCTTCACATTGGGATCTTTTATCAGGACGGCTTGACTGCTTTACATCTGGCAGCTGAAGGAGGGCATTATGAATGTATCAGACTGTTGCTGGAGGCTGGCTGCAATGTCAATGAACTTACTCATGTGAGGAAATGGTTGGATTTTCAAATTGATTTTAGTACATCAAGTTACAGCACATAGTAATGCGTTTCTTCTTATAGAGTAACAGGTCGGCTCTTCATCTGGTGGCCCAGCATGGCTCAGGAAGAGAGGTCACACTGCTGGTACAGGCTGGGATCGACCTGGATTCAGTAGACTCAGTCAGTACTAAAAACCCCAGCTTGCTTGCTTTTTATATTTTTGGTTTCTATCAAGAATGATAACATTTACTGTAGAATAGGAGAGAATGTTTGGGGGGGAAAATTCACTGACAATGGCATGCAGATTGAACGCAACTAGTGGATTCTCTGTTAGCAATGTCCAATAATAAAGCTCTGCCTAACAGATATACACGCACACACATACTGTATATGTACAGTGTTTTGACTAATTATTGTGTCAGTAAGCCTAGTAAGTCCATACACTAATTCCGAGTATGGGTCACCATACTTGGCCACATGTCCCTTCACCTTTAAAATTTTTTCACCTCACCTTTTAAGATACAAGGCCATCTTGATTATGTAACAGACATGTTTAAGATAATATTATACAGAACACAGCTATCAGAAGTTTTAATGCATCATTCAGCTGTTTTTACTTTAAGAACATGACAAAAGCACTATTTGGGACAAGCGTGGATTTAATCCTGTCCAAAGCATGGCTATTCTCAAAATGTTTGACTGAGTCCCCTGAATCTAACCTCCTGTGTGTTTTGTTTTCAAATGCTTTTTGTCATTCAATTTAAATTCATGTAGTTCAAGCTGTAGAGAACCTTTATTATGGATTCAGATATTCTTGCCAACATTCTGTGTAAATTAACCGTCGGTGATTCAAGTTCTGCTGACATTAAAAGAATATATGAATAAGATCACATCTTAATTCCCTAATTACACACACAATGGGTAAATTGTGTATATATATACACCCAGCTAACAAAAATGTTCTAAGAACATTTTATTGCCGTTATTATGAAAACATTATTTCTCAGTGTTCTCTGAATAAAAAAAATAAAAAAACGTTTTTCTTTGGCTGTCAATGTTAAAGGCAACATTATAATAAATTACATTAATGTAATTGAATTATTTTGCAAACATTGTTACTTTGAATGTTCTCTAAACCTTAGATGAACGTACAACTAAAATGTTTCAGAAAAAAGTTCCATAAAAGATGTATAAATGGTTTTTGTACTAATGTTTTGAGAACGTTATTGTACATTTTGATTGAACATTCTACTGGAAGGATGTTTGTTCATAACCGTTAGAATCTTGCCAGAATGTAGCTAAAGTGCTAAAAACATTCTCTGTTAGCTGGGTCGCAAATACCTGTAGATGCATGCACACGAAATAATTAATTTTAGTAAGATCACAATATATGGAGTGCATGATTTGGGCACATTTGAAAATTTACCTTATTCGTGAACCAGGAGCTAAAACACCAGAAACTTTACAATTTTAAGTTTTACTATTCAGAAAACCCATAGTATTTACAGACATTTTTCCCTTACCAGCAACATACTTCAGCTCTACACCTGGCAGTACTCAACAACTCCACAGGAATAGTGAAGGATCTGATCAATGCGGGATGCGACTTGGACATCTTTGACAATGTGTGTGTTTCACATTTACAAATGCAGTCATGATTTCACTGATTAAGGTGAAATGAACTATTTTCCCTTACAGCGGCTTCAAACTGCTTTGCACATAGCAGCAGAACACGGATGGCAGAACATCGCTGAAATGATCCTGATATCTGGAGTCAATCTAAATCTGCTCGACAAGGTGCAAATTACTGTTGTCATACTTTGGTGTGGATGATGGATTTTAATATTGTAATACACTTGTGATCAAACAATTAAACAAAAGATATTCACTTCAATGTTATAGCAGGGAAAGACGTCACTGGATGTTGCAGCACGAGGCAACCATGTGAATGTCGTTGACATGATTCTCAAAGCTGACAGATTTTACAAATGGGAGAAGGTATGTTCAGTGTACATTAAGCTAAAATCATTAGTCATATTTTATGTCATAATAATTAAAGATTGTGTGCTATTTTTAATGTGTTAATTTGCTTAGGAAAATGTGACGAGTGACTCTGACTCTCTGGTGGGAACGAGTCTTACCTTTTAAACAAGATCATCGACAGGAGACACAGCATATCCGATCTGTCCTATGGAAGCTTGCCACCAAATATCTCAAACCAGGCGAGTGGAAAACACTGGCTCGACACTGGAAGTTCTCAGAAGCGCATATTCGAGCCATAGAGCACCAATGGACAGGTACGTCATTTAACTATCTGCTGAGAGAGAAAAATTATATATACAGTGTATATATATATATATATATATATATATATATATATATATATATA